TTGTTTATGAGTTGTAATGAACTTTCTAATATTCATACTGACACGTATCTTAATGCGTTACAATTCATAAACATGTTTGTAACTGACGATACAATTTTCACTATTCATATTGACCTTATGAAGTTCTAAATAAATGAACTAATATTATCCTGTTCCAACGCATTCAAGGTAAATATAACAAATACAAAACACAGAAAAGAAACTAATGGAAACGATCGACCAAAAATGTTCACTGTATATTAAGGTCGGTTCAGTCCAACTCATATGATTTCACATTGATATCAACATGGAGTAAATAAACTTTAAACGTTTTTGCCCGAATGTCTTGTATTGTGAATATTATAACACATCTCATAAGCATATCCTAAACACATCTTATAAGCAAACCTTGAAATTTCTGAATGTTAGATGTCAATGTGTCGCTGAGATCGCTGAAGAACGGCACACTCACGGGCGGAGCGTGTTCTTGACATGCAACACGAATTTTCTTGTAAATCTATACTTATCTGGTATATGAAAGCGATTAAATTAAAAAGAACTGTGAAGGAAGCAGTGATTGGTTTGCACCAATTTTGAAGGGAAATGCACAGCTAAAATCAAAAGGTGTAGTATGTTTTACAGTAAACAGTATATGAGAAATGTTGCCCTTGGAACTTTCAAATGAACACTTTTACCAACAACACAAACTTTTAAATGGGCATGATAAACACACTAAATTGAAATATCCATATAAGAATGAGTGAAAACAAGAACAGTGACGGGTGAAAAAAAAGGAGTGACATTTTATAAATTCAGAGAAATCTGTTTATTTACGCAAATATTACGGTAAAATCATGGTGTTTTGTTTCATCATTAAAACCACGACATTTCAATTGTTCATTAAAAACATGAAAATACATGACCACTGAAATACAACCTAAAATAAACACATTTTTCTCTCAGAAATTATAAAATGTCACTTGTACCGCTCTGGTTTTCACCCCTTCATTCCTCCACAACATCGGTCCTCAGCATCTACAACAACGGTCTCGTCCGTTCGCCAACACCGCCACAACAACCGCCTCCCCGGCCGGTGGCGCAGCGGCGAGAGCGTGTCAAACGACGACGGTGGCGGCGGCGGCGGCGGTGGCGGCGGCGGTGGCGGCGGCGGTGGAGGTAAGGTAACGCCGGGGCGTTCGTTCACCCGCCGGCGACGCCAGCTCCCGGCGCGGCCGCCGCCGCCGCCGCCGCCTCCGCCGCCGCGCTGCCTCGCCTCCCGGCCACCTTGACTCCCACCCACCAGTCGATAAATCATTTCCGATGGGAATGCACGCCCTTTTCATCGCCGCTCGACGCCCTTTGTTCCGCTTTGCTGCGTTTTCGTGTTCTTGACATTGGGCCTTCCGCTCTGAATCATTTACAGTAAATGCGATTCGACGTATTTTGACATTGATCTATTTTGTATGCAACTTTGTCTCGGCAGGCACGTTCAACCCACGTCGGGTGCTACGCAGTATCTGCAAGTGATAATCAACAATGACTTTGGATTCTCACTAATATAGATGTATTCTTTTTTTAATAAATTTCACTGCCACTGGTTTCAGTGGTCTATAATGGAATGCAAACGGAACCTTTTCAAACCCACACGTGAGCATATTAAGCCTTTCAGCGATAAGTCACCCAGAGGCTCTCACGCATAGCATTTCTGAATTTTCTAATTTCGCCGAACCATAATTATATCCCATGAACGAGAAAATGCGTCACGAACCAAAGGTCAGTGTTACTGTGAAGAGAAAATTCTGTTGTTGAGAATTCCGTGTGCAAAGGAGCGGTGCGGCAAATGTGCTAAGAGTATGCAAGCATTTCTTCGGGCTAACCGCACACCTGTGCGTGGCCTCGTTGACAACCACTCTCACGGGCAGTTCCGGGGTTAAACGCGCAGACGGCAAGCACTTTCTCCGAGAACGGGCCTCTGTGCAGCGAGAATTGCTAGGTGCGTGCGGGTGCGCAAGGACGACCTGTCCCTGGACGGCCTTTTCTCAATTTCTCGTCGTCACCATCAAATGACTTCTCCACGTACCTCGTCAGAAATTATCATTCTCGTAGTCGCTAGGATGAATAGAAATTGCTAGACTTTGAAAGCTGAAGACTCTGAAAATGAACTGAAATTGGCCTTCCAAAGAGGATCAGAGAAATATTTTAGGCGTCTAATTGGCAGTTAAATAAGACTCGTATAAAGAGAACGAGTAACAAATTAACTAAAACACTTTAATTGAATTAGTCAGCAAACCATTTCCAAACAAGCCTAATGTGGTTAGGCGGAAGAATGGGACTTTAGTTAGGTTCTCAAAAAATTTGGCGGAACAAATCCCAGAGCACCGATAACTACAAGGATGAACTGTGCTTTATTCTTCACATTCGCCTGATCTCTATTTCCAAACTCTTGAATTTAATACGCTTCTCTGCCTCCTTGGTTACGATGTTTTGATCGCACGGCACAGAAACATATACAAGTATACTTTTTTTCTCCAAATTCCGGATAACAATATCAGGTTTCTTTGCCTCTATCGTGCAATCAGCTTGAATTTGTTGGTCGTAGAATATTATACACAGTCCAACAGACGTCACCGATTTTGGTGAGTGTTTATATTACTAGGAGCATGTGTTGGTACTTCCAGGGCGGTAGAGGTCTGCTAGTGGAAGAAAAATTTGGAGTCTTTTTTAAGGAAATGGCCCTTAAAAGCTACGGTAAATTTGAAATTTGAAGCTCTTTTTCACAAAAAAAATTTTGAGTTTTCGAAAATCCCTGTTTGAAGTTATTTTAAGTACTTTAACACAAAAATACAATAGTGTTTAGAAATGTGCGTATGTGCGTATAAACGGTGTGAGAAATCTTTCAAAAAATGTACATTTGTGTAATATTTGAAAAAATAAAAAAGTACACCGAAATTAACTTTCGTAAATTAAAGAGTGCAATTAGCACTATCCGTTTGAAAGGTTTGAAGAACAAATTTAGTGCTGTTTTTGAGAAACCGGCGTTTGAGCGTTTCTGAAAATGCGGAATTTTGAAGTGTTCAAGACAACAGACGGACACTTTGTAAAAATATATACTTTTCCAGTATCAAGATACCCCAAAACGTGTATTGTCGATAAAATCGCGATATCGATTTTCCGCAGCATTAAAATAACTTTCCCTATACTACATATATTACTCAATATATACTACGTATATTACTTCGTATATACTTACGTATACGGAAAAGTAAAAATTGTAGAAATGATGCAGAACAAGAATTTCTTTAAGTCTTAATCGTCGTTTCTTTCTTCGTAGTACGTTAGACTACAGTAGTATTTTCAGTCAAACCAAGTCACAGAATTCCAGATTTACAAAATTAGTCCTATTGCAACGTAATCCAGAATTTAGTGATTTTTGTAACTAAAACTTTTCCTTTGATATATTTTTATTAACACTCTCCGTCAACACTTTTAAAATGTGAAGCTCAATGGAAAGCTGTATGAATTCGAGAAATATCACTAGAGTATTGGAAAAAAACATCTGGCAGTTCTAAATTCAGCAGCATAGTTTAAAATCTTCAGACATGATTAATTTACACCGCATTTTCATATATATCATCACAAATATTTTTAAGGTTTAGGCTGAACGACAGAGTCTTTGCAGGTAACTTGTGATTCGAGGGTCATATGTGAAAGATGCATGTTCCAAAATATCTGAGAACAGAAGAGGTAATGTAGAAAATGTGCCTAATTAGGGAGAGCGTTGCTGAAAGTCATTGAGCAGCATGAAAAGCCAGCATATTTGTAATATTTTAGCCTCAAAAGGAGAAAAAAACGAAGAAGAAGAATAAGAAGGTCATTAGAGATAAGGTTAATAGATTGGACGAAGTGTATGCTGTTCTTTTATATTTTGCTTCCATTAGCACCATAGTATACTATGAACTACACTTTCTCTAGGCCTATCAGGTATTGATCGCGAAGTCACCCTAGTTCTTGGGTACAAAGATTGATGCCCAAGGGTTATTGTCATGCAGAGAGGTAAGTATGGCATTAGAGGAATGCGAGGTGAACAGCCATGTAAGTACCGCACGACGCCGACATGTGAAATAACACAATGGTGCCGTGAGGAAATCTCATTAACTTCGATACTATGAAGTAATGAAGGAGGTAATCGGTCTTCCGTAATATTACAGACACGCACATGATTATAAGTTATTTTCGCAGGAGTTCTGTGTAAGGAAACTCATGTTTGGAATGAATGTTAAATTTGGAGATAATTGAATGTCAGAGTTGTAAAATAACGTAATCATAATAATCTTTATAAATGTTATATTTTATTACTGTTTTTCTGTAGAGAGCTTTCCATGAAGCAGGAAGCTTGGATCTCCCTTACACACTTTTTTAATTCCGCCTTGAAGCGTGTATATTCATCCATCAAATGTTTTATGGTGTAGTCCATCATTAAAATGGTGAGAATTCGACGGGAAGTAGGTGTTTTAGATTTGTGGATGTGAATTTATCGTAAACAGCTGATGTTTTCTCCTTGTCTTTGAGCCTTGGTAAAAGCAAAACCTCACATACTTCGGGTATCAAAACCACGAGTTCTCAGAGAACTGTTGTATTTCTGGTAAGTTTACTACTTCCATGGAAGAATTTGAAGAAATTAACAAACCAATGAAAAATCTGATTTTATGAACTGTTGTTCCAAACGCATTCTTACCGATTCTTGTAATTATTTTGAAGAAAATAAACATTTATATTTTAAAAATAATGAAAAATATCTTCATAACATTTAAATCCTGATCGTTATGGACATTCATTTAGGGAGTATATTAAACTTTTAGTCATGTATTAAGGGATCACTCTTTACAAGGCTTGAGAATCTCTTATCTACAGGAGTATTTATCATTTCGCAATCACTCAGAAACGTCGTTTCAGTTTCCTGTTCTAGATCGCCAACATCTCGTTCAGGCTGTACCATTTGAAGAAATACATGCCGCCTGGCATCACGTACCATCTCCTTTAAAGCTGTCGCTCTGCTCTGCAGGGGAACGCGCAAAATCGCTCCCCAGGTCGTGCCGTCGTGCCGTCGCGCCGTGACGTAAGCGCACCAGGAAGGCGTCGGCGACGGCATCGGCGTCGCGCGCCGTCGCGACGGGGGACGGCGCGAGGCGTCGTCGTAAAAACGCGCGTGCGCGCGGGGCGAAGTCGCCGGCTTGGGGCGGAGGCTTTGTGCTCGTGAACGGCGCGGCCGGCGCGGCGCGGCGCGATCCCTCGCCATTCACCCGTCGGCGGAGGAGCTGCGGGGAAGGGGGCGTGGCTGACGGGCGGTGCGAGCGGCGCGCGGCGGCGCTTGCACCGGAAAACACCGCTCGATACGCGTCCCGCGGAGGGCCGTGCCGCGCCGTCTCGCACAGACTGCGTGCAAAGAACGATTCGCCAGGGAAGGGGGGCGGGGGGCGGGCGTCGTGAGCGGGCGGGACTACATTGGCGAGGGGCGTGCGGCGAGCGTGGGCGGGCACGAGTGGCGGGTGCGGGCGCAGGTAGGTGGGCGGGCGTGGGTGGGCGTAGACTTTGGGCTTGACGGGCGGGCGGGTGGGGGGCCGGTGTGGGCGGGTTGGCGCGCGCGGCGGGCGCTGGCGGCCCGGGCGGTGCGGGCGTGGCGGGCAGTGGCGGCGGTGGGCGGGCGTGAGCGGGCGTTGGGCGGGGTGGGCGGGCGTGCGCGGGCGTGGCGGCGTGGGCGGGCGTGGGCGGGTGGGCGGGCGTGGCGGGCTGTGGCGGGCAGTTGGCGGGTGGCGGAGCGGGGCGGGCGTGAGCCGGGCGTTGGCGGGCGTTGGCGGCGTGGGCGGGCGGGGGCGGGCGGGCGTGGGCGGGCGGGCGAAAGGCCGTAGGCGTGCATGCGCGTGCACTGGCGTGCGAGGGATTGCGTGGTCAATGCCGGATGCAGAGTTCGTCGACAAGTGACGCAATGGGCGGGGGCGGAGGCAGGCCGGAGCGAGGGGCGCGTGCGAGGCGTGAGCCGGGAGGGGTGCGGGTGCGAGGGAACTGGCGAAGCGCTGAGGGGGAATGAATGTTAGCACTGCAAGTGAAAGGGGGCGGAAGCGGGGCAATCGATGCAGAAGAACAGCAGAGATAAAGCGTGTGTGTGTTCGTGCGGGACAATGTGTGATTATGCATTAAGCATGCTACTAGAACTAATAGATGCCGAAGAGAAGTCAATCAGCGTTTACAACTACAAATGTAATAATCCTCCCATTATTAAGAATAAAAAGAAGAACGGTAAAGAGAAATACAGATGATAGCAACTGAAAACGTGTTGGGTAAACAAAAAATGTAATGTTGCTACTCTTCGTTCGTAACTCTCATGCCATTACACAAGTACATATCAGTACTGGTGAACAATTACGGGAACTCGATCACTATCATTGGGCAACAATGTAAAACGACATAAGAGACATGAATCCTTCGATTGAAGTAGGAAAGGGGCATTAAGAAACAATTCACAAGATTGCCGAACGACTTTCTCTCAAGAGGTTGATTCATGTTGCGAGGTGAAGGTGAATGGTAGTCATAGAAGGAAAAAGAAGAAGAATTTATTAAAGTAAATGTAAACATGATAGTAAGTGGAATGAATCGAAAAAAAATCTAGTTATGGGTGCAAATTGACGTTGAAATTTGAAAAGAAAACAGCTGATATCAAAAGAGTATTTGAGAGGCTTCCAAAGTAGTGAAGAAAATACAACACGGAAGGAAATATGGAGCAAGAAAAAAAAAGAAGAAGAGAGAAGAAGATGGTAGCAAGGACTGTATGGTGAGGCGTAGAAGAACGTGGAGTGCATTGATGGACAAGTGGTGGAGGATGAATGCAGCCGAGCTATGAGTAAGGCGTTATCGGAAGATAAGGTCCGTGAGGAATTTGTCCCGAAAGAGGCGAATAAAATGTTGGGGCTGGTCAGGCTGTGGGAGAGGACTGTCGCAAACCGTGACCCCAAGGCTAGTACCCAGGGCTGCCGCGGGTGCACTGTTGCCATACAACAAGCTCAGTTCTAGGGAAGACTAGGTTCATAAAGGGGGGATGCTGCAGTTCACGAACGGATGGCGGACGTGAAGTGGAAGTGGGGTTAGAGACGAGGGGAGGAAGCGTCTCCGGCGATTCCCCGACCCTTTTCCGGCCCGAGATGCCCTGAATCCAGCGCGGGTGGTGAGCCTGCTGTAGGGCAAAGGGCGACGTCGGCCTGTGAGAGTGTACAACCGCCCTGGGGGGGGGGCGTGTGAAAGCATCGGAAGCGAGTGTGCAACGAGGACCAAAGCAAGTACCGTGAGAACAGCGCACGGTGGGTTCACGAGCGCCAGGGGAGTGTGAGGGCTCGACAAGACCACACGACCAAGCTCCGCGAATGCACGAGTGACGGGCTGGAGCAGCATCACGGGGAAGGATCGTCGTGTAGGCGGAAGCGTCACAAAAGAGGAGGCGTGACGCGGCGGCGCGGGCGGTGAGCAGCATTACCGCGCCAACACGTTCACGCCCGGCCGCGATTCAAATCTACGCAATTACACGCGTGGCGCGGCGCGGCGCTGCGCGGCGCGGCGCCGCTCGCCGGAAGCGGAAGGGGGCGGGGCGGCGCAGCGGAGCGCGCCGGCGAGCGCAAGACAAACAGCGCCTCTTACTGCGGTTGCCACGGTCGATCGGCGAGCGACGCGAGGGCTGCTATCGATTACCCGCAGTTCATTTGTTCAAGTGATATCGAAGCGAGTGCATACGCTGCCAACGGTTTGCGAGCACCGCCCGATTTCTTGTTTCTATTTGCAGGCAAGAAACCGTTAAATTACAGTTCTGTGACGTATAAAATAACAACAAAGCTTCTCAAATATTTTAGAATGGCATTTTTAGGTGAAAATAAATAAATCGAGTGTCCGAGTTTAATTGCTTTCCTAGTACTTGCAATAGATTATAAACAAGATAATAATGTGTCTAGCCCAATTAACGATCAACAATACTAAATAATCACCTACTTGCTGTTTTTCAAATCCAGTTTCCGTTTCTTCGAATTCAGAACTTTCATTTTCATTGTTTTCAATTTCTAGCGTCGATGTAAATATGTTTTTCTCTCCTCCATCTATTCCAGTGTATAAAACGTTCTGGCAATACGTAATGCTTACTCAAGGAGGATTTGAAGAAAACCGCTTCGTCAGAGAAGAAGTGTTTGGAAACGAGTGTGTCACGAACATTGCCGCCTTTAACACAAAAACATTTTCCATTACTGCTGTCTTTTCAAGTCCCGTCGTTCGTAAACACTTAATTTTTACCCCACCTCTACTACAATTGAATTTGAACACCAAAGTTACTGAATTGCTGCATGTTGTGATTTATATTGGTTAAAAGATACGTTAATGCATTTATCTTATTATTATTATTTATTATTATTATTATTATTATTAATTTTATTATTATTATATTTATTATTATTATTTATTATATTATTATTATTGTCTATTATTTTTAGTTGGTATCAACATTTATAAGAAACGTATATATATAATTTTTTTATTTATAACAAAAAAATTACAATCTATTTTTTACAAAATAATAAGTAAATATGATGTTGTATATATAATTGAATATTATTCTACCAAATATCCCAAACAATTCGACTATCTCATATTTACTCTCATTATTGGTCATTAATAAACAAGGGAGACATCCATATTGTAGGAACTGGTGAGGTTATGTACTCGGGAAGGTTGATTCATGAACGGGAAGCTAGATTCACGTTCTTTTGAAAGCTTTACAATAAGAAGCTTACCTACTCTTAATATTTTAATCACTAACACATTTAACAAAGTTTTACGAAATAATTAATTTAAAAATGTATTTATTACGAATTTGTATCCAAAATATTAAGAACTCCGTAAAGAACCTTGTTTAAGGGAAAATGCCTTTTTACAGATTTTTACTGGGCAATGTGATAGAGTATGTGCGTCAACGCCCTGTAAAGGTTTATCTAATGTTTCTTAGAATTGCCTCTTTGCATTTAAATGCTTTCTTTTTGAAACGAAATTGCCTTGGTATTTCTTCGCAGTCAGCAAAAAGCTTCAAGAAATCGCCCTAGCCATCCGTAAACAACCTTAGCTGACCTGAAGAGTTTTACATGTTAAAAGATAGTTAATGTCGTTAAACGCGACAGTAAGTTTTGCTTTCGAGCAAAATATAAAAAAACAAAACTTGTGGCTCGTCCATTCAATTAACTAGAAGCAGACGGTGTTGCCCATAAGTTTTCTTTGCTTCGTAGCATTCAAGCGACGACGTCCTATTTTTATATTACTTTTTGTTTTGTCACATCACACGTGCATGTTTCAGGAAGACATTCGAACTTCGAGTCGGGCAGCAGAGTCGATGGCTAAGTGGGACAAATATTGATGACTCCGTTAGTTGTTTGTTCATGTGCTCAGGTGACTTCCGGGGTCTTGAAAGTCGGTCAACGTACTTTTGATCATTATAAGGCATCTCTCAACGTTTGAAAGCATTGTTTGTGGACTTAGTACGCGATAACCGAAATAATACATCCGAAAATAAGTGATAATTCGTGCACGTACACAATATGCTTTTCTAGAATCAGGACTTAACACAATTTTATGATAAACTGAATATGAACAAAATGAAAGCAGTTTTCTCTGAATCTAAGAGAGACAAATATCACATAGTTATATTTTAACATATTATGAAATAAGAATTAAGCAAGTTTCGTTGTGAAGATACACTTATAATAGTTAAATGTACTTTTTGCACTCTAATGAATATATTTTCAGAAAATAATTTTATTACAAGTACGCGAGTATTGACACCTAGCGAAAGATCCAGCGACCATACACTGGGTGCTGGAAAGAAAGGAAAATGTATTTTATTACGGTCACAGGTGTTGGGAGAAGCTCCGATACTAGATTATCATACAACACAAGTCACAGTGTACAGTGTCCGAGCCTTATGCCAATATTACCTGTACCAATTCGACCATCTGTGAAGCGGAGTGAGTGCATACACCAAATAAATTTAAGTAAACAATACATCCAAATGTCACAGTTATATAATATAAAGCAATGAAGATAGTAAAAATATAAAATGTAAATATATGAAGATCTATAATTTCCGTAAACAAAAAAACAATAACATAATCTGGCATGAACGCTCTATCTTTCATCATCATCACCCTTCTTTTCATTTCAAATATTCTTTTGTAGCTATTACAAATCTACATTCTGAAACTTACAATTTTTTGCACGAATGAACAAAAAAATGAAAATTATTTTAAGAGGAAAGAAAAATATTGTGCAGAAAATTATTACCCACTCATTCTCTCCACTTTCTCATAAGGCCCGGCACACACGTTTGGCTTTACCGGTGAGGTTTAACTGTAGGCGTTAACCGGAGTGTGTACGCCAGCCACTGCAGGCTAAACTTCACAGGCGTTGCAGCCTTGCGCAGACGATCGGAGAAGAATGGAAATTCAATTATTTCTACCTGCGCAGGCGTGTAGACCTGAGCGTGTGCGTCAGTCCGGCACGCCTGTACAGTTTTTAAGTCTTGTTAACTAGCGACTACGCATACGATACCCTTTTTATAGCACGTTGTAAATGGCTGAAATGGCATGGCTTCGGCTGACATGTATACGGAATTATTTTGCAACTTGGGGTGACATTGTAGTAGAATACTTGAGACATTCGTACGATAGAATCATTGCAAGAAACCTCATGGTAGTTGTCCGTCTCTTAGTGGGGTGAAATAAAAGTGCTCATAAGTCATAATCGTAGACTTCTTCATTCATACGCAAATAAATACGATAATCTGTAGGTTCTGAACTTAACTATTTTCGTAATCTTCTATTCATGTCTCTTTATACGCCAATTTTTACACTAAGCTTCGTGTTTTACTTCTTTTTCACGGCCACTATCAAACCGACTAAAGCGATTCCGACGTCGTCTTGTTTGCTTGTCTTCACTCGACGAGTTAAAACTTCCCGGTTTACCTTAGCCTGCACAGTTACGCCTTTCCGGGTCCCCT